CGAAAAGGGCACCGTCAATGCTGACGTCGATGGAAAACTGACTCCTTTGACTGAGAGAATCTGTCTTTCGTCTTCGTTTGTGGGGGAAACACCTCACATATGCTTCTCTGGTCTTTTCTGTAATTTTTGGCGAATTTGAGGGCATTTGACCTTCATTTTCTTGCTTATTTGCACATTTGCTCCCTTATTTTTAACTAAATTACTACTAATTTGTTAATAAAAGGGTATTTTGGTCATTTTGTTCTCCTGTGAAAAGACTTTCATACCTTACTAAATTTTCTTATGTGGGATACAAAAAAATTTTTTTGAGAGTTTTGAGTTTAGGGTAGGTAGAAACATTTTGAATCACATAGAAAATTTTCAAAAAATGCCACTTTTCAAGTGTCACTTTACAAAAATGTCACACTTTTGAAATTTTTACAAAAATGTCACTTTTTCAAAATTATTTTTCTTTATATTACTTATGTTTGGGTTAATTATATTCTATTAGGGTTTAGTTTTGAATGTTTAAGGGGTTTTAGGTGTCAAAATATTTTTTAGGGTTTAGAATTTTAAGATATAGGCTTTATAAATATATAATTAGTAGCATTTTTGTAAATAGACATTCCTAAATGGTATTCTTGCAAATGTGCACACAAAAAGTAGCATTTTTGTAATTACCTCAATCACCTAACTTAATTTTATTGATATCCAATTTGAATAAATCAAAATTTTTTATAACAATAATTGAAATAATTTTTTTGAGTAATTGTAAATTATTCGTTTAGGTATATTATTTAGGAAATTTAAATCATCCATACATTTTTAAAATTATTAAAAAAAATCCAAATACTTATCATAAATATATATATTAGAGGTTAATTTTTTCATTAATATAAGATCTTATAACTATTATTTTGTTCATAAACTAAAGAATGGTGATTTGAAATAATATGAATCAATATTAAATAATAATATTTGTAAACAATTATCCACGTAATTAGATTTTCAACAGTATCATCTTTTAATTTATAGTTTGATTGACAAAAAAATCTATTAAATAATACTCAAGTCACCAAAAACTTTTTATGTGGCACAATCACATCCATTGATTCTAGGGTTTTTGATTATTTGGTTAAAATTTTTTTTTTTTGCTATTGGGTAAATTAACCCATAATATTATCTCCAATAAAATTGGTTTTCAGAATTCAAATAATCATAGGTTTTAGAGAAAGAAAAACCAAAATAGAACAAAACATAAATACAATTTCTAAAAATAAGTTCTTTAGAAAAATTGCCAAACAATAAAGAAAATTAAAACAATTGATCCATGTCGATAGAGTTTGATAACTAACGCAATTAGGCGTGTACTCATAGAGTTTAGTCTTTTCTAAATTGAGTCCAACAAACCTTGTTAAAACTTAAACCATTTGCTATCAATAAATAAATAAAAAAGGTCAATTTGTGTAATAACCAAAAACAAAATTATAATTGACAATCTAACCAAAAGCTCTAGATCAAGTGGTTATGATTTTACCACATATGAGACTTTTAGTTAGATTGTCAATTATAATTTTTTGTTTGGTTATTCATGTCAAATTCTCAT